ATAATATGAATATTATTTATTAACATAATCTATTGATATAGCAGTTATACAATATAATATTTTGATCTTTTAATATAATAATAAACTAATAAACTTAATTACATTAATTAGGAAAAGGATTCTGGTAATTATATATATATATTATAATATTTAATATTAAAACGTAATATTATAATATATTATTGTAATGTAATAATATATCATAATATCGTATCGTAATGCTATAAATAGATTTTTTTGCAAACAATGTGATGATATTATTTATACAATTTTAAATCAATTTACGTGATATAAAACTATATAAAAAGTGAATGTCCAACAGGTGGGAAGGATTTTTTTTTTAAAAATATATTTTGCCGTTATATTTTTTGTATCAAACAATCGATTTTGCATCATTTGAATTTAAGAATTTTTTTATAAAATTTTATTACTCTAACGGATTATTTATTAATATATAAATATTTACAGATATTCATCAAATAATCTACAGATATTTGCATAAATTTGTAATATATAAAAATGATCTGTCTATTCAAATATTTGTGTTATCTGTATAGATTATAATTTATGGATCACTTCTCTATATCAGAGGATAATGATGCCTGTTGTGATAAAAATGAAGTATTTTGTTAAACAATCGATAGACGAATAGGGTTGTCTACTTTATTTTTTTGTTTTTTATACCCTCAAGTTGAACGTAAATGTAATAACTTACATTTTAAGTATGATGTTTAGCAGTTACACAGGATTTAATTTTGTATACATCCTGCATAAGAATTTGTTGAAAGCGTAATTTGCCAGATTCATAAAAAAAAGAATATTATTAATACCCTTTTCATTAACTTCTAGTGCATTTTCAAACAGATAGTGTGTTGCAGAATTTGGATGATCAAATGCAGATAATAATTTCGTAATTAAAGACCAGAGTGAATCTTTGCGTGATTGATTGCATGAGTATTCTGACTCATCACAATATTATCAGTATATTCTGCAAGAAGCATTGATAAATGATTGCATTCACTTTAGGTTGCTTTAATCTTCAACATCATAATTGGCTGATCAGTAAGATTTTTAGTAATATTTTGCTTTATAAACTTTACGTCATATGTTTCAAGTGCTTTATTAAAATCTAAATAATGTTCTTCACTTGCAAGGTTTACTGAACATACCATTTGTAATAATTTTTGTAGTTGTGAATCATCATGAACTTGAACTAAAAAATACACTACAGAACTTATATACTTAAATTTTCTAGCTGCAGGAAAGAGAGGTGCGAATGTTGCTAAATTTGACATCTGCATTTTATAATTTCCTTTTCTAATTCCAATTTTATGACCTATAAAATATCCTATTCAACAGAAAAAAAGATACCACACCTTTATGAATTAATAATTATCCTTCAAAATATCCTTTATAGTTTCTTCTTTATTTTTTACATGTTGACATAATGCAATTCTAACTGCAATCTAAATTAATTCTAATACACAATATGTTATATGGTAATTTATAATGTGTTCAAATTTATCTAAATATTGTACACCAAAGGTTGCTGCAAGATTGAATATTTTATATTTTGAAAATATTGTAATTAAAGTGCTACACATGTGTATCACTATTTCAAAAGAAGTCAAATATCCTCATAAGTTTCTTTATAAGAGATTAATCTTCTAAAAATTGTTTGATCACATGCAATATATAGATGACTATCACTACTACAAGGTAAATCATTAAAGTACATTTCATATGCTACATAAACATTTTCATTACAATTAGGTGTGTCATTAGGTTCTAATATCACAACATTTGGTGGTAAAGTATTGCAATTTGCTTAATAATTTCTGAATGTATATCTTCTATATCAAATTCATTTATATGAGTCGCTAATATTATATTTAAAATATTCTCATACATTATTAAAAGGTTATCGGTAATTGAAGATGTTTTAAATAGTGATTGATTAACAGATTCATGGTCTTCAATTAAATTATCAAAGAAGGTTGAAATCGTAAATTGAAATAACATTTGTAATGTTGCATGTGAAGTTTGTCATATAATATTAAAAATATTACCATATAAGAATGTAGAAGCTTTGAAATCAATATTGTCAATTATTACTAAATTCTAAATATTTGATTCTTTAATTAAATTTTCTTTAGGATCTGTATGATGCATCCTAAAATGTTCAAGACAATTTTCATACCTTTTAGTGTAAGATATAATACATGCTAAATGAAGAATCTCTTGTAAGTATGATAGCAATTTTGGTTTTTGACATAATGATGATATAATATGTGAAAGCTATATTTTTATTTCAGGAAAAATAATAGTTAGTGTTAAGAAGGTTAATAAAGTGATAGTTTTTGATATTTGATTTGTATTAAATGATTTTAGAGGAAGTTCACGTTGAAGTCTTTTCTTATTAACAACATTTTGTTTTTATTGTTGTTGTATTATAATGAAAGCTTGAAAAAAATTGCAAATAGTTTTGGGTAATGTATCAAAATAATTTTTATATGAGTTTGGATTTTCTAATTGATTAATATTTTGTTGAATTTCAGAATACAAAAATAAAACCTCTTTTCCTAATTCTTCTCCTATTATCAAAGCCTTTTCTAGAATTATGATATGAGACTTTACTTTTGTTGATTTATTTGATTCAACTTTTCCAATTTTTAATATTGTTCTAATAAGTAACTTATTTAGAAGTTTTGCTACTTCTATTTTTGATAGATTTTTTTCTATTATTTCATTGTTAAAAATAGCTAATGTAAGAACTATTAGAGATAAGAGTTTTTTTTGTTATATATTATTATCTGACTCTGCTACTAATATTATTTATTTTCCGATATGCCTTAAAGCATCACTTATATCATCATAATGTTTCTCACGTTTAATACATAATACATATTTCTGACCTTTATTTGGTCTTTCATACAAATGTTCGCCTTGTTATTGAAAGCATTTTGAGTAAATATAGCATGCACGATAGCCTGAAGATGACTTTTTTACAATAGATTCTTCAGTAAATGCAGAACAGTTATGAATACCAATATAAGGTACTTGGATATTACATTTATTAATACTCTATAAATGCTTTTTACAGCTATTACTATGACTAAAAAACATTTTTTTTATTATAGAAAATACAGAAGTGAAAATGGATAATGCTTTATTCAATTGAATATGATTGTTTCATGCCTTTATTATGAAGTTGATTCTGATCAAAGAGAAAATGATAGTAGCATACTCTAAGCTGATTTAGATTATTTTTAACATCTTTGTAAGTTTGCTGTACCATTACAACGTTTTATTTCACCTTGAATAATATCTACAACTACACATGACGTTAGGTTTAGATTTTGCATAGAGGTTCTTTTGATTTCTATATTTATATCATCATTAATTGTTTGAAAGGAATTACTATGGTCAGAATTTTCAGGTCCTTTAAGTTCAACTCAACCTCACTCTAATCTATATCATCATTTTCATCATTATTTAGTAGGGTTTGAGCACTTGCAAGGGCAATTTGATCAATATCATCTTCACTTTTTTCTTTGAGAGTGCTAGTGTTATATTCCTCAGAATCCATAGAAGTGAATTCTGAGTCACTCATTATTATTTGCGAAAACTTGATTGGAATGTTATACCAAAGGTGTTTTATGATAGATTTATGAATTTATAACAAACATAACAGATAATACAAGAAGAATTTAGAAAAGAATCAGCATTTTTATTTATTAATATTTAAGGAATTCAACTACCTTAGGGGCAAGCAAAAAGCTAAGTCTATTTATACTATTTAAAATCATCTATTTATTTCCAGGCCAACGGTCTTTTTGACATTAACTGTTAACAGTTAATTGTTAAAAATATCAATGATAGGACGAAGCTGATCCGAAAGTTGCCGAAATGACGCAAAATGTAACAATATCCAAATTGTTGAATTGATGACATAAGGTTTGAATGCCAACAATATCAGATTGTAATGGATTCAGTTTAGTAATCAATTATTCATAGCACAGTCCGTAATACATATACAATAAAAGCAAGACTGATTTACATTTTATTATTAATTATTGAGATTTATTTATTTTTATTTTTATTTATTTTATATATTACATTATCAACTTATACTACGACTTCTTTTTTACAATTTTTTTAATTACTAACTTACAACTATTATTAAAATTATATATTATTCTCATATAAATACCATTCTCGCGTAGATAGATTTGTTAATTCTTGATTTGTGGTTCTTGAGATGGATACGACTTGTTTCTGAGTGGATTTGGCAGTTTCCAAGTTATCTTGAGGCTACATAATAAAAGGAGATAATTAGTTGGTTTAATTATATAGATAATATTTGCTTCATCTAACGCTAATTCTCCACTAATTATCTACGCAAATGCTCTATATTTGATATTACCTGGTTAATAAAATATTTTTCTTTTCGAAAATGTATTCTCAGCTGCTAAAAGGTTTTAAATGTAAAAATTTTTTTGTTTTAATGTTAGCCCGAAGAAATGTCTTAAAGTTGGATCTGTTTGGAAGTTGACTTGTCAAATATACTTTAAATTTGAATGTTAAATGGACTAGACATGCGGCTTTTCAAAAGAAATTGATGAAGTGAAGGGATAATATATAAAGCCATTAAAGTAATAAAAACCGTATATTATAAGGTTAGAACACTCTAACTTCGTATGAAGATTCTCTTTAAACTAAAAAACAATAAAGTCGCGACTTTTACGATATAATAAAGAAATATCACAAATATATTTTTGTCGGATATTAATTGACAATCGGTTTCACAAACATATGATTTTCATAGAAGAAGCCTTTTATAAACGAAATTTTTCATATAAAAATTGAAGTGATCGACATCTAATTACCATATAAATAGCATTTTGACCCATGTATCGGGGACATGTCCCATGACTGTTAAGAAATCTCTTTTGTAAATCGTTCGTTTACCCAAAAAAAATTTATTTAGAATAATGAATAAATTGACTTCAAATATTCTATTGTAATATCGTTTGTCTTTTCGATTGACAAGACAAATGATTTATGATGTATTGATCGGACCTAGATAGAGTTTGGAAACCTTACAAGTTTATGCCTTCATTTCTCTGATTTATTTATCTGAAGAATTATGGAGTGATCTTGTAAATACCTTGTAAACAACAAAAATGAACTGTTTTAAGTCACAAATAATTTTTTTCATAGATAAATAAAAAAAAAAAATACATTAATTCATTTATACCGTATATACATTTATATCCGATTTAAATTAACTAATTGTTACCACTAATTTTTTTTTTAAAAAAAAAATATCCTATATTAGAAAATGAAATACAATAAATCTAATAATAACGACAATACAATTATTATAAATAAAGAAAGGAATCTGGAACGAATTAATAAAAATGAATTAGTTTAACAAGAGCCAAACGTATCATGCGTTAATATAAGCAGAACTTTCAGATATGCGGTTTCTTTCCATATTTTTTTTTTAAAATAAATATAGCTGTTTACGATTATACGACATTTGGTAAAGTTTGTTGAACATTTTTGTAAAATACACCAATTGTAATGAGTGAAATAAAAAGAGATATTTATAACATCTGAATGATTAAAAATTAAACGATCGAAAGTAAAAAAAAAATTTGGTGAATTAAATTAAATGTACAGTATAGCGAACGTCGAGTATAATAGGATTTTGCAAATATTCATTTATTCATCTAACGAATTATTCCACTTGCAATAAAAAAGGAAATCATACATATATGTTCTTATACAATTAAGTTCGTATGTCTTTTCGGCAACTTTTTATTTATTCAGTGATTTTTTAATTAATTTGATGCAACATTTTGTCAAGAAAATCATTAGCATTGCAGTTGTATTTACAAAATAAAATAAAATAAAATTTCATTGATGGCAGCAAATGAAACTTATATTCTGATGTTATGCACTCTCTTCGTCTCTATATTCCTCATCTACAAATCCTCTGTATAAAAAAGTATGTGACATATAATTCTCAAGATTATCTCTACAGATTA